TAAAATATACAAATACAAATATACAATTATTCAAATCACACAAAAATCACACAGAAAAATAAAGTACTTTCAAAAAATAAAAAGATAAAGATAAGAAGAGACAGAGAAAGCTATCTTTATATCTATTACTATACTATTCTATTATTCTACTACTATACTATTCTGAGGCTATAATCATATTTGCTGTATTCCGGGATGATGATAACCGCATCAAGATTGAAGTAATACAGGTCAAATGTATGCTGAAATACATACTTCAAATGAATAATGTTTGTTTGTATGTACAAAACTATATAAAGCTGCAATACAAAATCTACTTATATTCATTTGTCAATTTTGTGTAAAAATAGTAAGTGCAAATGTACCACCTGCAATTATATGTAGGCTATTATACACTAATGAAAACATACCTATGAATATAATATTCAATTTCTGCCAATAGACACTGCACCTTTAAATCCTTACTGTCTCCATTAAATCCCATATGTAGAAAACAGTTTCCATTGACACTAACAGAGCTCACACATTAGATGAAACATGACAACATAAATGCACAGAAAAAAAGAATTTGTTCTGTGTTTTATATGTCATGTACTTACGCATGAACATCTATATATTCCTTTGGTTACCAAATAGTTATTCGCAGACAGAGTGTAGCGTATGATATATCTACTTCCTGTTATAATAACAGAAATACAAATAGCCTCTTTTTGGATATAGGAGGAGTGATTCTGTGTAAAAAAAAAAGTACTGTCACGATCAATTACAGATATAGCTAGACATATAGAGCACAACGTTTTACAGCTGTCTTTTCTGTGATAGCAAACAGAAGTAATGTATTCCTGTAGTGGACTTCTGTGACATGTCATCAGCTCAAAACCATGTTTGTTAGTAATTCTCTAAAATCAGGAAAAGTCATGAAGCATTGAAACAATGTAAAATATATTTTTCAAGCTGTTTAATAGGACCTGGGGTCTATAAGACTACAAACACAGCATTATGTCTAAAGGAGTACTCCAGTGATTTACTATTGCACCTTTATATATTTGGGGGACTCAAGAGAGACTTAAAAAAGCACTGCAAAAATTGAGGCAGTGGGGCTGAGATATCCTGAAGTTTCAGACTGCAATTTGAAAACACTTCAGCCTTCCAAGCCTGTAGGAGAAACTATGGTGACTGCAAAACTCGTGTGTTTTGCTCCTCCGCTTCACCTGTAGAGTAAAACAGCTCATTCTAAGGTAACGAAAACACAACTATTCGATTAAAGACTAATGAAAACATTCCTATGAATATTCTATTCCATGTCTGTCAATAGATCTTCCTAAATGTTACACACTGGACCTTTAAGTTTGTATGGGTTAAGCTCCAGGAACCTGGATACTACGTTTCCCATAACACAAGTAAAAAGGGTCTTTTGTTAAGATGACATAATCAGGGTTCTTCATCAGTAGAGTGCCGCTTTAGCACTTGTGAAGTACATTCATACAGTATGTGCTGTTGAGAAAGAAAAGTCTTGAAGAAAACGCCTATAAAGTCCACTTACTGTACTTCCTTCTTGTTTCAGGGCTCTCGACCATATAAAACGATCTTCATCAAAAATTCCCGTCTCACCCATGTTTATTTAAAGTTGAGCATGACAGCTAATTGTTAACAAAACAATCTCAACTCAAGGTCACCTTACTCACCTGCTCTGGGGCTTTTGACCATATCACACTGTATCATATCAACTGAGCAACATCTGCTGATGAAGACCATGTGATGTGGTTTAAAACTGCTGTTTCCAAGACTGAACTGTCAAGCTTGACAGAAACATTAGTTTTTTTGGCAAATATTTACCTTCATTATGCGTGACTAGGAACTTACAGGTGTCCTCCACAAATCTCCATGATTGTGTTGTGTGGTTCTCTGCCACATGGGTGCAGTGTTTGATTTTACATCTCACAATATCAGGTTGTACTGCCTAAAGCTTTCTGTTGAATCTCCTGATTACCAACCAGGCAAAGCCAACAGCTGTCCTGGGTCCTCAGAAGTCCCCGAAAGCTCGGGCTTCCTTGTGGTCTGATTTGTGCTTATTTAATTAAAAATTTTATTGGGAATATGCTACATTAAAGCACAATAAAAACTGATGAGGACCCTAAGGTGGGTCCAGATTTATTACCTGACCGTGAGGCCTTGTCTTAAAGTAGGTTTTTGTGTCAAATTGTAGTTTTAAAACCATAAATATTTCAGTATTGTGCTTTTAGATAATTCTAAATTGATCAGAGTTTAATTAAATTGCCACACACTAAACCTGCTAAAGAAATACAGTACACAGTGCACAGATAGTAGGGACAAATAGGGGTTAATAGGTGCCCAAGCAGTTCTGTTTTTGCCTCAGGTTAATCCAGCCTTACTGTGTAAACACTCCTGTCTGAACTTAAAGCCCTCTGAATATTTAGATCCACGTCACACATTAATTGTAACCTTCCAGACCATTTATAGCTGACAAGAAATGACAGACCATTCACTCTCTGAAATGTTGCTCTCAGTGACACTGGCACATTTGTTGTGTTTGATCAAGGCCATGATGTGAATGTGTGACTCAGACACAGTGACTCACAGCCCAGTACGCAACAGAGAATCTCCTTTTTGCTCTCACCACTGATGCACATCCTACTCGTCTGTTTACACCAGGAGACGTGGTACAGTTCTGCCCATTAAAAAAAGAAAAAAGAACCGTACGTGGGTGATCACAGAGCAGCTAAAAATGCAGGCAGTTTCTGATCACAGATCTTTCCTTCTATTAAAGATGTATATAGGTTTTCCCTTAATGTCTTATCAAACCGGACAGTTCATTGTTGGATCTCCTCGCAGGAATCCAATTTGTTAGATGGTGACTGCAATTAAATTTCTTTCATATTCTTCTAAGTAATGGTTTCTTATTTGTATGTGGGCAAATACACTGTCAGTAATGCTGCTGCATGTTGCACAACAGGCATGCTTTACCTCAATGCTATGCTATTGTACAAAGACAAATGCATGTAATAACTTATCACTCAAACATTTTAATGGGAATAAGACAGGTATAATTATTATAATCAGTGCAGTCATAATCACAAGTGTTCACTGCCCTCCTGTGGTCACAGGTAGGGAACTTCAGCACATAATTAACACACTTTATGTTACACTGATAATAAGTGAAATCTGTATTAATAGTGACTTGTGCAACTAATTGTTGCCGTAATTATTACATATTAAAACCGAGAGCTTTTTTAGTAACAGTTTTTTTATGTTTCTAACCTGCTAGAACTGGTGATACAAGCGTTAAGGCAAACATGATAGCATTCAATTCCAGTGAATACTTTCAAAATAAGTAACCAAACTGACACAATCACAAATAGAAAGGATAATTTTTATTGTTCTCTAGTGGTCACAGTGAGAGGCAACAACTGCACGTTCTTAGTTGGAAAAAAACTATTGTTTGTACTGATTATCAATATTTTCTTAGAGGTATAAATAAGATTATATCCAACACACATGAGCAACTGGAAATGTCTGTGTAGTGTTCATCCAATAGGCTGAAATGTCACAGACATGGCATCATCACTGTCAATTTGATAAACATCAGCTGGAAACATAAACTAATTCTGTGCAATTGAGAAGCTGGTCACTGTCTGTCAAATCTGATTTCTTCTGCAGGAACTAAACAAGAGTCCTTTGCTGTGAGGCAGTGGGGGGGGGGCACACATGTTCAGAACAGAGAAAAATCCTGACTGATTGTATGAGAGACAGTGATGTGCTTGGGTTTCAAACAGCTGTATAAATGCGTGCATGTAATGATCAAAGGTGCCACAAGGAGGAACAATCTGTCAATGCAACCATAGCCATCATAAGACATGTAGCATATTAAAGCCATTTTTTAGACATCAAAACCCCTCCGTGTGAAATGTATCAGATATGTGAAAAAAGTCTGATTCATTTCTCTGCATCCTTCCCACCATATTTCTCCTTGTTTGCCATCTCTCTACCTTCACCTCACACTTCCTTTCCCCTCCATCTCAACCTTTTATCACTCTCTGTTGTGTTCCCTCTCACAGCTTAGAGTGGCTGACATGTACTCACACAAAAATCTCTCATTTACTCTCCCTGGAGTAAATGTCAGAAAATATAAAAGGGGACGGAAGGGCTATGCAGACCTTACATACATGTACAATACCATTAATTGATTAGTCTGCTCCAAGACTGGGATTGTTAAATGCTTTCAGAAGAAGTTAGAGTCAAAACTGTGAAGATGGAAGGAAGCACAAAGCCTTTAATTGGTGAAGCATGATATCACCTTTCCAGGGACCGTTAAATGTCTCAGCCAACGCTGCATTCAAGAACAAGCGGCTTTTTCACTAGCAGCCAATTAGAGTGGGTTGGCAGTAACTTGTCTATATTCACAGTATGTAGCCCCCTGATTATTCTTCTCAGCCTACAAATTAAATACAGTGGAGAGCGCGGCTCGCCTGTACACAGGTCTGTTAATCTGCAACCAGCTGTGACAGCCTTTATCAGCTGCCACGAGAACGGAACCACGAAACACACCACACTACTGCAAGAAAACAGGCTAAGGAAAAAGCAACATTTGGACACACAATGGACAATGCGCAGTACTGAATGTGAATGTATCTCTTCCACAAGGTAAAAGTAAATACTGAAGAAAACATGTCAACCAATCAAGCTCCTATTTGGCTTCACCAAAAGACAAAATGCTCAATCAGAAGCCATTTAAAAGACAAATTAAAGACAGCGGTCTTTGTATTGGAGGAAATGCATCTCTAAGTCCACTGTATGACTCATCCGTGGCTGCGGTGTGTATTATTTTGTGTGTGTGTGTAAGGTGAAGGCAGGCAGCTGAGGTAAGTTATGTGGAACTGAAACCATCTGGTTTTCTCCTAACCACAGTGAACAATAATAACCCCAACCCCAACCACACACACACACACACATACCACCATCTCATCCCGTTGTCATGACAGTGTGGCGGCAGGATGCTCCTTGGAGAAGGTTGGGTATTGAAATTGTGGCCTCCACTTATTTCTGGATATTATAGAAGTTATGCAACATTAAGGAGATCAGTCTTTGGAGACAATGGCCTACACTTTCTAAACAAAACATCTGGTGTATAGCTTTTATTATCCCTTAGTGGTATTGGGCAGAAGTGTGTACCACAATAAATACTACCCCTGGAGGACTCCAGCTCCAGACTCTCAGCTACAGAGGAGAAAAGTTGAAAATCCATGTTTAAAAAGTCATACAATCAACATTAATCATTAATCAACAAAACCATCTCTTCTACTTTTGTCCACGTTGCAACACAATAGGGATAAAAAAAATCAGCTATCACACACACCCATGAGTAGAACATCCCCACAGAGGATGTTCGACTTGAGTGACCTCTGTTGACATTGTTCAGGTGGGTTTATGTGCTCCAGAGTGTGACTGCAACCAGCTGGTTTCCCCACCAAGACAGCAAATACAACAACTGCACTCAATCCTGTTGTCATGGCAGTTACACATACTGTAGCCTACATATGTGGTTTGGAATAGGTCAGACACTTAAGTCTTGGCTCTTGCACATTTATAGTGACAGTTTGTGAGTCCAGCCTGTTATAACACTTAGGTTTGTGTGTGTGGAAGTGGAGTGGTACAGAGAGCGTTGAGACCAGTGTGTATGCAGCAGGGTTAAGAAAAGAAGACTTAAAGGACAAGTGTCTAGGATTCAGTGGCAGCTAGCGGTGAAGTTACAGATAGCAACTCCTATGGTGAAAGAGAAACTATGGTGACAAAACATGTGAAAAAAACAGAGCCAATGTTTGGTTTGTCCCTACAATAAAGTAAACAATTGTGTAAAATGCAATATACCAGGGTGCAGTAATCATTAATGTCATTAATAAACATCAAACTTCAATAATCCTCCACCATCCATAATTATTAATAATTATTAAATTGTGAAGATGTATGTTTACTATTGACAGGAAGTGTTGATTCAAATATGGTCCAGTTATAGAACAGTGTAGGTTACAATGACTTATGTATCTAAGAAACTGAAAGGCACCCTGAAAAAGGAAGGGAGGGACATACAAATCTTTATTATAACAGCATTGCAAAGATGATACATCATAGTCACACAAAATGACTGACACAAAAATACAAATAGTAGACACATTACGACAGCGGACACATTATGTTTTTGAATTGTTTTTTTGATCAACGTGAAAATGTGTACAAAACACTGGCTGTAAGTCAATCTTACTTAATAACTACTGATTACATTACTGATTACATCCGGTTCAGACAAAGACTTTGGTTTAGGTTGTGGGCTGCTGAGTATCTGAGTAGCAACCAAATGTATTAATGTATTCAGGCAGTAGGAACGCCTTGTGGATAAATTCTGGACCACTTTTGTTCAACTCTGTCTACATCTAATGACCAACTGAATGAAAAAGGTTTTCTGAATTTGTATTCTCTTCATAACATTGTCATCTTACATAAAATCTCTCCTCTGTTGTACGGCTACGGTTCAGTCCAGTTATTATAATACTTTGCTACAGTACTACAGCAAGTGCAAAAGGGAGTTTGTTCCCTTAGAGACGTCTATGCTTACAGTGTCTAATACATCACAAATGGATAGTCAGAGCAGCCATTATAATATCTAATTACACTAATTGGACAGAAACCATTAGTTTATATATAAGCCAGTCAGCCTCCCCCTGCAAGACATATAAACACAGTATTTCACAGTAGCAAATGACATACTATAATACACATCTCTTACATTATATGCATATGAGCATTTGAAGATGAATGCAGATAATTACTGATGAGGCTTGCATGTGCATCCACACTCACACTCACATACACATACACA